TATGGGAGAATCACAAAATATTTGGTTGCAATTGTTGAATTGGATAAATTGCTAACAAAGTTGCTTAGCTTTTTTCGTTTTCTTTTTTTTTTGCTCCTTTATCTTTTTAAAATATCAAACAAAAACTTTTAAACTACAAGAAGTAAACGAAATATCAAATGAGTATGAGAGAAGGAGAGAAGAAAGAAAGATTTCTTACTTCATTTTATTCATATTTTTTCAATTCTTTTCCTATCTTTGCCTCATTTTTTCCTTCCATATGGTAGAAAATGAAAAGAGAGAGAGAGAGGGAGAGAGAGGGACAGAGAGAAAAGGAGAGAAAAGAAAAAGGTAAAACAAAAAAAAAAAACTGAGAAGAGTCGAGTTTTATTTTTTGATTACTTCACTCATATGCCAATAATATTACGGTAATTTCAGATCAAATTGAAATGTTAGGAAAATTTTAATCAGTTCAAAATATGCAAATTACAAAACAGAAATAAAAAGAATTATAATCTCTAAAATAAAAATTAAATTGTTCAAAAGTTATATTTTACTCTCCTTTTTTTTTTCGTTTTTCATAAAGGAAAAAATATATGGAAATTATTAATTTGTAAAATATAATTAATGACTTCACTAAGCATTTGCCAAGTATTTTATAATCAAATAAACGAATTTATGTAACTAATAAAGTAGAGTAAGGAGCTAATCAATATAAATAATCAAAGATCGATAAGTAATGAATGAATGGAAATGGAATATAATGGTTGTGCATATGCGAAAATTGTTAAAAAAAATTGCTTCCATCCGCTCATTTTTGGACGACAATCTTTAATGATTGAATGCAAAATAGTGATTATTATGATATAAAAATAAACTAAGCTATGAAAAATTTTTTTTTTATTATTATTTTAGTTCTTTTTTCTTGAAATTATAAATAAATTATAGTAAAAAAAAAGAAATATTTTGGTACTGAAAAATACAGAAGACCTAATGTTCACACTAATATGCAGTATTGAGAAATGAATTTAAATCAAAATTGTTATTTTAAATTTAGAAAGAAGAAAAAAAATATATCATCTAATTTTGTTATCTGAAGATGAATTTGTTTAAAGAAATGAGGATTTTTGCTTCCATTTTTATAAGTTTTATTAACAAAAACAAAAATTTTAGAAGAAAATGTAGAAAAAAAAATGATCGTATTAAGGTATAATAAACTTAAAGGAAAAAAAATAATAAATAAACAACTAAAAGTAGTTCAAACAGCAATGTTAATTAAACGAATACAGTACGACTGATATGTACGTACAGTAAAATTTGGAAAATTCATCATGGCAATGTTAATTATTATTTGTCAAGTTGTATTTTAATGATAATAATTGCAAAAAAAAAAAGTCAATCTCATTGCTTTCATTTGCGAATAAAAAATTTTTAACAAAGTACCGAAAAAAAAGAAAAAAAACAGTAATCCCATTAAAATATAAATTACAATAAAAAAACTCTTCTATATCTCATCTGTAAATTACAGTAAAACTTTGAAACTGATACGGTACGCCTTCAAGCATACAGCAGAATTTCTAAAATTAATACTGTATAACCTTACTCTATTACTATTGTAAATGTTTGATAACAAAATGAATAAATGTATCGAGAATTGAAACTGCTTCTTCTCGTTGCTATTATCATAGCAATAATGATGAAAATAAAAAAAAAAAATTAAAAAAAAAAAAAAAACTTAAGTACAACAGAATAATGATAAACTATGAAATTCAAAAAAAAAAAAAAAAAAAAAAAGAAGAAAAGTAATTATAGAAGACGGACCCGTTGTGACATATGTATGGGACTTCCGAGATACTGCTACTACTGCGGTTGTTGCCGATGATGATGTTGATGTTTTTGATGATAATATTAACAGTATAATAACAATAATAATAGTAATAATAATAAGGATAATATCGATAATAAATAGTGAAGGTGAATAGAACGATGATAATAATAATAATAATAACAACGACGATTTAATATTTATCTCGCAATAACAGTTCGTTCTTTCCTCTTTTGTTTTCTTCACCTTCCTGTGGAAATGAAAAAATTCCTAAAATTATTTTTACAACTACAAATGAATTATTGCTGAAGTTAAAATGTATTGTAATATCCAAATAAAAATGGATGATTAGCCGTTTTTTTTTTCAGCGAAAAGAAAATTAATTAATGATAATCGGAAAAAATTAATGAAGTAACATTACGAAGTAGCAAATAACATTAATTCATAATGATATTACAAAGAAACAAAGACATAATAAAATCAATTTTTCTTAAACTATAAATAAATGTCACTTTATAGCAAGTACTTTACTTTTAATCCATAATTAAATGTCATCTTTCTGTTATTTCAAGAAGACATTTATATCAGTTTACCTATCTATCAATCTATGTTATCCTGTCTTATCCTGTCTTGACTTGTCTTGTCTTGTTTTAACATTCATTTCATCATTCTATATATCATATCATTGTTACTTGATGGATTATGTAATGATATATTGTATCTTTTCAAATTAAAATTGTTACCAATTTTAATTTAATTAGTTCATTTACAATGAAAAGAAAAATTAAAATATCAAATCAATCAACAATACATCAATTAAATGTTATTTCTTTAAATAGCCATACATTTGAATTATCACTTTCATTTAATTAATAAATTATTTTTTTTTAGCTACTTTAAGTTGTTACATCATAGAAAATTAGACAAAATGATATATAAATTACTGCAAAAAAAGACTTTTTTTTTTAAACAGATTTGTTGAATATTTGTGATAATTAATATAAAATTAGACAAGATAATAGTGTAACTATAAAAAAAAAAAAATTAAATTTATTACTATAATATTAAACCAAATAGTACTTATTCATCACAGATAATCAACAAATCTGTATGAAATTTCTTTTCTTTTTTTTTCTAACAATTTTGTTCAATTTAAAATAGCTGAAAAATAATTTATGAATTTCAATCAAAGTTTTTTTTTTTCACTTCTAACAACAAATAAAATAATTATTCTATTTAAATTGCTACAATTGTCATATTTGTATCTTTTGAATATGTTCCTCTTTTATTGGATACTGTAATTCCAAGACCGTCTGCACATTTATGTATGTGTGTGTGTCTGTCTGTGTATGTGTGTGTGTGTGTACATTGGTACCATTTAAAAGACAAATTATTTTCTCCTCCCCCCCCCGCTCCCCCGCATTATACTAATATCTATTAATAAACATATTAATATAATAATTAAAATAAATTTCAACAAAAAACAAAAAAAAAAAGAAATTCTATCTAAAATTTTGATAAATTAATGAATGAAATATTCAATAATAGAATGAGCAAAAGTAAAATAATTAATAACTAAGCACTATAAAAATATTCGATAAAATTTTTCGTTTCGGTCAAATTGTTGCAAAAATTATTTAGAATTGAATAACTATGAATAAAAATATATTCATTACATAACTTATACGTACACGTACATACACGTGTATTGCACGCACATATATATATATGTAAGTAATAATTTACTTAACAATAATAAATTGCAAACAAATGCTATGATATATTAGAAGGATTTTAATTTTAAATCCGATGAGGTGTTAAAGAAAATAAAAATGAAAAAAAAAAATTAATCGGCCGTCAAATACGGTTAGTTTATTGTTAAAGATCGATATAATGAATGGCTGAATGAATGAATGACTGACTGACTGATTGACTGACTGAATGAATGAATGAATGACTGACTGACTGATTGACTGACTGAATGAATGAATGAATGAATGAATGAATGGATGAATGGATGATTGGATGGAATATTAACGGAAAGGACAAAAAGAATAGGATGGAGGATAAGATGAGATGAGATGAGATGAGATTGGTTAGATTGGGGTGGAACTAAAATTGAAATCTTTCCGTACCCATCCAATCTTATCCCGCCTAGTTTAAGGAAAAATAAAATTGACAACAGCAAAATTCTCCTTCCTTCTTCCTTCTCTCTTCTCCTCCTTCTGTTCTTCCTTCTCCCTTCTCCGCTCTTCTCTCTCTCTCTCTCTCTCTCTCTTTTTTTAATTCCTCCTATTTTTTAGTTTTTATTGTTGTTATATATATATATTCTTGTGTGTTTTTTTTATTGCTTATTTATTTATTTACTATTTCTACTTTTACAACTATTTTTGAAATTTAGTTACAAAGTTAAATTATTAGCAGAGAGAATGATTGATGTTTAGAAAAAAAATAAACAAATAAATAAGAATAAAATAAAAATAGATATTAGGTAAAGCGACTAAGTTAACATTGTTTTTGCGCTCTTTTACTTTTCCCTATTACTATTATTAATATAATTATCGTTTTTATTGTTATACCGTTACTACTACAACTATTATTGCTATTACAATTATTATTATTATTATTGCTGCTACAATAACAATAACAAATTATTCATACAGTTTCCATCCTTTTCTTTCTTTTATTATCATTTAATGATGGCATAAATTCTTTAAATTAGTTCATAATTTTTTTTTAAATAAATTAATAATTTTTACCATTTTGTTTTTTTTTTTTTCGCCTTTTCTTGCTTTCATTTATCTTTTATTTCCATTTTTTTTCTCATTAACAAATTTAAATAAGTAGTGCGAAGAGAGAGAGAGGGAGAGAGAGAGAGAGGGAGAGAGAGTGAGAAAGAGAAGGAGAAAAGAGAGGAAGAGTATGATTAAATAAAGTACGAAAAATTGATTAATTTAAAATTTTTGGATAGATTTTGAGAATTTTTTGACGGATTTTGGAATAATTTCAATGAAAAAAAAAATTGGAAGAGGATGAAGAGAAGGAGGAGGAGGAGTTGGAAGGGAGAGGAAGAGAAGGAGGAGAGAGGAGGAGGAAAAGAGAGGGAGGAAAAGGGAGGAGGAAAAGAGGAATTGGTTGTAGTGTACTGATGGTGATGCTTCTGTTGTTGTTGGTGTTTGGGTAGTGTTAAAGGAGATTAATTTGGAATCAAACAATAGTACAGACATGTACACACCCGTGCACACCCGTGCACACCCGTGCACACCCATACACACCCGTGCACACCCGTGCACACCCATACACACCCGTGCACACCCATACACCCCCGTGCACAACCACACACACTCATACACACCCGTGCACACCCATACACACCCGTGCACACCCATACACACCCGTGCACAACCATACACACCCATACACCCCCGTGCACAACCACACACACCCATACACCCCCGTGCACACCCGTGCACAACCACACACACCCATACACACCCGTGCACAACCACACACACACCCATACACCCCCGTGCACAACCACACACACACCCATACACCCCCGTGCACAACCACACACACCCATACACCCCCGTGCACAACCACACACACCCATACACCCCCGTGCACAACCACACACACCCATACACCCCCGTGCACAACCACACACACCCATACACCCCCGTGCACAACCACACACACCCATACACCTCCGTGCACAACCACACACACCCATACACCCCCGTGCACAACCACACACACACCCATACCCATACACACCATATACATATATTTTGCACTTCAGAAAGCCAATCTGTGTCTCATTTAAAAATAAAAAAAAAATTGAAAAAAGAAAGAGAAGCAGGAAGAAAAGGTTAGGAGAGTGAGAACGGATAAAATGAGAGAAAGAGAAAGAAGAAAAAAGAAAAGGTTCAACTTTTTTTTAATTCGTTGAATACAAAAATATTCAAAAAACGAGGAGAAAAGAAATTTTTTTTTTAAAATTGAAGAAAAAAAAAGAAAGAGAAATAGACGAATGCAAAAAATATAACGAAAGAAAGGATGAAAATAAGCAAAAAGGAGAGAATGGGAGAGAGAGAGAGAGAGAGAGCAATAAGAGAGAGTTTAAAAGGCCTTGCAAATTCTTTAATTTTTTTTTTTTGTTTACCTATTTTTAAAAAAAATTTCTAATATTTCTGTTTTGTTTGTAAATAAAAGGTAAATTCAAATCTTTTTTCCTTCATCTTTCTTTCCTCTCTCCCTCATTATCAATATCACCACAATCATCATCATCATTATCATCATCAACAATATCAGTTATCATCGTTATCTCACATTTCTATATCATTACTTTATCACTCTCATTAATTATCCTTTTTTAGTATAATGATGATCATAAATAGAGAACTGATATTGTATTATGACAATGATAGCAATGATAATAATAATATCGATAATAATGATAATAATAATATCGATAATGTATCAGTTTTTATTCTTATTCATTCAGTCGGTTTTTCATTCTTTTTTTCTTCGATTCCGTTTAAACGAAAAAAAAAAAAAGAAAATTTTACTACTTGTTCGACTGTATGTTTTTTTTGTCTGATATTTTGTCATATCATTTGCAATTACATTAATTTAATTCATTTGTAAATGAATTAAATTAATGTGATAAGTGAGATTAATGGAGAAAAAACGAAGGACTGAAACACAATCAACAATAATAATTTTGTAGTTAAGTAATTACTTATTATATTAATTAGGAATGAATTTGAATTGCAAAACTTTAAGAGAATAAATTAAATAAAAGATGGATAAAGCTTATCATAGCTAAAAATTTTTTTATTATTATTGCTACTATCATAGCTAAATTAATAATATTTACTCTATCAAACAAATCAAAAAAAAAAAAAAAGATGATAGAAATCAGAAAAGAAGGATAAGAAAGAGTATGATGATGATGATAATGATGATAATGATGATGATAAGGAGAAGGAAGAAGATAAAGTGAAAGAAATAGAGGAGAAAAAAATGATGTGACATAGATAAGTGTTAACATATTAAAATAAACGGTAACGATATATATCATTGATATTTTCTTGATTTTTTTTTTTTTCTCTTCATCTTTTGCTTTTTTTTGAAATTTTTTTTTCAAAAAGAAGAATGAAAAGAGGGAATTTGTTGTTTTTCATTATCAATCTAATAATTATATCAGTTACTATTAATGATATAACAAAAATAATCATGATTACGATGATAATGTTAATAATAATGATAATTTTTGCATTGAAACATTATCATCATCATCATTTTCATTACTGTTATAATAATATAAACACTAATTAACAACAACATTAACACTATCATTAACATTATTATCATGTAATAAATTTTATCAAGTTGAAAATGACAAGAGATATGCATTTGTGTATCATCATTTTCACCTATATTTTATACCGCGTATTTCATTCTTTACCCTTCTTCATTCCCCTACCCTTACTCTACCCGTTCCCGCCTTCCTTACCCTTCCATTTGTTGCCCATTTTTCCTTTCAAGTCATATATAATACATTCATCGTATTATCCCTATAATGATTAATTTTACAATCATTTTACGTATCCGTTATCAACTTTCCTTTTCCTCTTTACTTCCCCTCCCATTTCCCCGCCTCATTTATCCTCCAATTTTTTTTTTTGTGCTTTTTCATTTTTTTCATTTTTTTTTTTTTTTTTGAGATAAAAAAGTATAAGAAGAAGATATAAATTTGGAGAGAGGTAAAAGGGTAAAAGGTAAAATAAGAAGAAATTACCTACTTCTATACCATTCACATCTTCTTACACATTTAATATATATGTATTATTATTTACTTATTCATTTTAAATATAAATATGCCTATTAGCTGCAAAAATTTAAACAACAAAATTTAAAAAAAAAAAAAAAGAACGAAAGAACAGGAATGGAATAGAATAAAAATAGAATAAATTCTTAAGAAAAGGAAAGAAAAAGAAAAAAATTGGAGATGGAAATTTCTTTTTTCTTTCTTTTTTTTCTTTGATTCGATTCGAATTTTGAATTCGATTCCATTCCATTTGATTCCACTCAATTCGATTCCATTCGATTCGATTCGATTCGATTCGGTTCCATTCGAGAAAAGAGAAAAGACATAAGAGAAGGGAGAATGGGAGGAGGAGATGAGGAAGGTAGTCGATTGGCACCCAATGATTGATAGCTTCATGCCCGTCCATCTATTCCTGCTGTCGTTTAGGGACACCACCCCAAAAGATTCACATCCAATACACATACACATACACACACACACACACACACATACACATACATACACACACATACACAGACATACAAACATACATATATACCCTATGATACAGCAGCAATAACTACATCATAGTATGATACCCACCCTATCGAGCATCTATCTCTCTGTGATATTACTACTACTACTTCCTTCCTTCCTTCCTTCCTTCCCCTCCCTATCCTTCCACCACCACACCTCATTCCAATGAAACCCGCTGACATCGTGACCGATTGCCTTTGCTACCGCTTCTTCTCAGATTACGGTAGTTGATGATGATGATGATGATGATAATGATGGTAGTGATGGTGGTGGTGGTGGTGGTAGCAGTAGTAGCAGTAGTAGTAATAATAGTGATATTAATGATGAATTATTACTATCAGTAGCAGTAGTACTAATTATTATTACTAGTAGTAGTAGTCATAATGGTGTTGATGATGATAAAATTAGTGATGTCAATAATAAATAATAATAATAGTAATAGTGGCGATGATTGTAAGGGTGATGATAATATTGATGATATGATGATGATGATGATAGCAACGATGACGACAGTGATTTAAAAGAAAAGGAAAATGTAAAAAAAATTATTTCCTCTCCTTTACTACCTCATTCTTATCCTTTTGCATTCCATTCATTTGAACATATTCATACATATATAATAATAATAATAATAATAATAATAATAATAATAATAATAATAATAATAATAATAATAATAATAATAATAATAATAATAATAATAATAATAATAATAATAATAATAATAATAATAGTTATCATATTATAATGATAACAATAACAGCTATTATAATAAATAAGAAAATATTAGGGAAAGAAATGAAATGAATATAGTGGAATAAATATAACATGAATTTTATTAAAGTTTATTATCATTTCACAACATATATACATAAATTGATAAGGTAAACAAAATAATAATATATTCAAATTAATTCTTTCATTATTATCGTGATAAAATTTTGAATTATTTTTTGAATTTTGTTAGTTTTTTTTTTTACAATTTACAGCTTTTTACTCAATTAGTGTAATGTTTCATCTCCTTCTGTTTTTTTTTTCATTATTTTATTAAATATATTTTAAAAAACTTATAAAAAAATATTTAAGCTTATTAAAGCAAAAATTTTCCTTTTTGTTATTTTAACAAACAAATTAAAAATATAGTAATAATAACTTATTTATGAATTTGATGAATTATTTTAAAATTAGTACTTACTAAAATATGACTGCAACTATTTTACGTTTGTTTTCTTTTCCTTCACTTCTTCATTTCAATTAGAAATTAATTTTGAACGATAAATTTTACTTTTTGACATTCATTTAAAAAATAAATTGTAGATGAAATTTTTAAAAAATATTAACTATCACCTTTTTAATATATTAGTAATTTGATTGAATGAGTGATAATTATGTGATAATAGTGATAAACATATTGCCATTAGCTCAAACAAATAACCAGAATTTATTATAGAATTTAAACGATATTTTAAAAATTAGTAAACATTTCATCTTTAAGCAAAAGAGTGAAATGGAACGGAATGAATTCAAATCAATACTTTTCGGGTTTAATCTTCAATTTATGCTTTCAGGAAGGCATTGAAGAAGTTCAGAATTAGATTATTGTGATGCTGTCACTATTAATTTGTTTAATTATCACAACTGAGATAATGAAATGAAGAGAGAGAGAGAGAGAGGGAGAGAGAGGGAGGGATAAACTGAGAAGGAGAGAAAGAAGAAAAAAGAAAAGAAAAGAAGAGAGAAATGGCATATTAGTAAAAAGAAAAAAAAAAATTTGTATGGCACACATATTTCCAATTTTTTAATTTCTTCTAAAACTCAAATTTTTAAACAGCAATTGTTATTGTTACAAATTTTTGTTTAAATAAAAAAAAAAACGAAGCGAATAAAATATATTTCAAATAATTTTAAATCAAAAGATTAAAATATTTGCATTGAAATTTAAATAAATAAAAAAAAAATTTCATTATAAACAAACTTTAACTCTAAAAAGAAAAAAAAAGCTTATAATTATAATTGAAAAGGATTGAAAAGAAAAGAAAATTTGAATGAAAAAAAAGGCAAAAGAAATTGGCAATTTTTTTTTACGCAAAAAATTTTATATTAATAATAGAGAAGATGAAAATAAAATGGAATAAATGCTAAAAAATAAAATAAAAAACAAAAATTAGTTTTTTCATTTTTCTTTTTATATTATTGCTGTAATATTTATATTATTATTATAAAAATTTAAAAAAAAAAAACGGAAAAAGTGATAAAAAAAAGCAATGTATGATGAACGAAATATTTTGCTAAAAGTGAATTTTTCATCAGTTCAAATTGCTAAATTTTTGATGTTTTATAGACTTGTTTTTTTTTTTTTATTTTTAATTTTTAATTTTTAT